GTGGCGGGGGGCTAGCCTCGCCTCTAGGTGCCGGCCCATGGCTGTCGTTGCACCCCCTACGTCGCCCTAGCTCGGAGCGCCGATGTCCAAGCTGTGCTCCATGCTGCCGGTAGGCCAGCCGCACACAAGTCCACCGCCACTCGCGCTCCACCGCTCCTGACGCAACCTTAGCCTCGGTCGGCGCGAGGTCCGGTGGGCATGCCTTCCTCCACATGGTTGAGCCTCACCCCTTTTTTCACGGCGTTTGTGCCCCCACATTAATGGCCAAGCACGACCGCTTGTTCATCCGCGACAATGGAGATTTGGTGCGAGGAACAAGAAGAAGGCGGATGATTCACGGCACACTAGGTCTCGCACAACATCGATTTGCGAGCAGCTCTCGCCAAGTTAAGCGACGTTGCCCTCTCCCTCCTTGTTTCTCTCTCCTATGTAGGTTGATATAGAGAGCCACTAACGTCCCGTTACATCTGCCTTAAAAGCGAGTCCAATAAATTTGTCATATAACCAAGTCTGTCATTTTAAAACTAGTTTAAGAGACTACCATACAATAACTAGTATCCTCACAAATTTCGAAAACATATTTTTAAATTTACATGGGACCCAATGAACCTATCCTTATTTATTCATTCTTCATCCTCATCTGCTCGCTTTTCATCTTCATCCATCATCATATATAGCTGGCGCACACCCACCCAGGACCTCCCACACGACACTACCAAAAGGTTGGCACACACACCGCACTGACCACGAAGAAGGCCGGGCGCATGAGTAACGCCGATCGAAGTTGGGTGTGTTAGGCCGCTTGTTGTAGCCCCAAGCAGGCGAGGTTAGGTACTGAGTTGTGCGTCAAGCCTCAACACTAGTGACTTAGTGAGGCAGGGCACAGGGCGCCCGTCGAAGCTCCCAATGTGGGTGAGGCTGGGCACGGCAGCCACTTGTTAGGAACAAGAAGCCTACTAGTGAGGGATGAATAATTATTTTTTAAATTTAATTGTGCTGGCTAATTAAAATAAATATGAAAATAAACTAATCAATATAAGCCTTGACTACACCCCGTTTTCTATCACAAGTACCTTAGAGCAAGTATAATAAGAGGCTATAGGTGGACTGAATGCTGACGTGGAAGAGAGAGGGGAGGAGAGAGAGAAGAGAAACGGGTTATAAGTTTACAGCCAGCTTATGCACAAGAACTAATAAATTTTGTGAGGCAGACAAGTGGATTGTAAGCTGACTAACTATTATACGAGTAGACTGGTAGATTAGTTGTAAGTAGCTAGTTGTATTATTAGCCTTGCTCTAACAAAAGCTATTACAAATTATGCCGACATTACCAGACTAGAGGAAGCTCACCTAATCAAGTCTAGTTAGCAAGGTAGTCGACTAAACACCTATCAACTAGTTGACTAGACACAACAGGAGCTCCTACACATACTAGTGATCACAAGCACAAAGATAGCAACACTAGCGTTACTCAACTAGCTAGTTACACAAGAACAACTAGAGAGCCGCCACCACTACTTAGCTGCACAAGCTAACATAAGCTACTTATCTACATAAGAGGAACAACTACTCACTAGCACAGGTAATGAACAAGTAATACAAGCTGGTGAGAGGGATCGGAAACCAACGGGAAGATAAGTTGACACTACAATTTTTATCCCAAGGTTCGATGGTTTGCCAACCACTTAATTCCTATTGAGGCAAGCCTAAGATTGTCACTAATCCACTTGCTAGTGGCAAGCCCGCAAGCTTGCTCTCACCCTCAAGGTGTGCACACACAAAAACTCCAGCACTCGATCTAGGAGGTGGCAACCTCCAAGAGTAACAAGCACACCGGCTTGCAAGACGAACATCTAGTACCACTCGATGCAAATCACTCAATGTAACACACTAGGAATCGCTCTCTCAATCGATCGGATCTGATCTTTATCAAACGTATGGAGTACAACCCCAAAGCTAAGCACAACACCTAGGCACACACATCCCTAAGGTGACCAACCCCAAGCGCTGGCCACTCCTCTATATATAGAGGAGCGAGCCCAACTAGCCGTTATGACTTTTCTCCCGCACCTCGGCCTACCTAGCGGTCCAACCGTCCAACCCTCCAACGGCTACTAACAACAGGCATACCCCATGCATCAGTCTCCTCGGGCGCGGTCCAACCGACGCCCCAATGAAGTCCAACTGCCAAGTGATTTCGCCACCACCAGAGAGTTCCCAAGAGCAATAATGGACCATCAGATTGGTCCGATGGCCCCCCACCGGACTATACGCTTGCCTATTTGAACACGGGCCAACTCCTTGTGCAGCCCAGTTGCCAGGCCTGTCCAAACGAACCAGGCCTGTCCAAACGCTCCACCCGGCAATCACACCGCCTGATGCCACCTAAGCACGTTCTTGCATGAACAGTGACTCCACCCCTATCCGATAGCAAAGCCTAGTCATCACCGGACCAATCCGGTGAGGCCGGTCCAACCGCCAGCTGGTCGGTCAGACCTCTAGGGCAACCAACAGCATGCTATTAGTTGACAAGTGCAATTAATATATAAAAAAGGGTGAAAAGGAAATTAGTTTGTAATAAATGAAAATAATTAATTGTCTCTTGCTTTTTTTTAGATGACTTTGGATATCCTTCTTTAGTCTATCAAAGTTCTCATTTAATTTTAATAAAAATGAATTCACCTTTTCTAATGTCATGTTACTTTTCATTATAATTTTGTTCCTCCTAGATTGTACCTTTAATTTGATTTTTATAATATCTAAGGACCATACTGTGAGTCGACTCGCGCACTAGTAGTGCTCCTTAGAAGTAGCTATTTTTAATCAAGTAACTACCACGTGTTGTCTTCATCTCACCGTAATCGCCACGCGTCTTTGTCTTCGCCTCACCTCTTACTACTACAGTCTCACTCTCTCACAAGGCCTTGTTTGGCTGTGATTTGCTTGTTTTTTTCTGCTAAAAATAGCGCTGCGTCAGCAAGCAGTTCCGATCATGCTCAATTTGTCGATCTTATGGTGCCACCATCTTTTGATTCTACCTTGACAGTCTCAGCTATTTGGCTCACCCCTTCAGCAGGGGGCGGAGGCTAGTGGCAGCCAAACTAGGCTCCCACTCTCCTTGCCATGTGAAATTTTCTATTGATTAACTCTTGTATGTTTGCTACTTTACCGATGATGAATCTGCATGTTATCATGTATGCAGGCACACATTTCCCTCTCCACATTAGTTGTCTGTTCCTTGGTCTTAGCAATTGTAAAAGCTTTTTTAATACACTCTTACTTTGTCTTTGTGTAACAATTGAATTGCTTCTCTTCGAATCTACCTCACTCTCCGCCACTGCCCTCCATCACCACCGCCTTGCTGCCCCTGCCCTCCTCTCTCGTTCTGTACACAAGCCGGAGAGACAAGAAGCACTCCCCCTCTGTGAAACAGAGTACCTCTAATCAGAGTGCCTCACGGTACCATTTCCTTTAGCACAAGGGACAAGAGAACACGCGTCAGCCTAGCCAAATCGCAGGACTCGAAAGCAAAAGCAAGCCGCTCGGACGCGCCCTGACTCAGTCTTCTTACCACACCGGCCCCGCCGCCTTGATCTCACGGGGCGTCTTTTCTTACACCGAAACAAACCAGTGCAGTTTTACCCTTTCCAGCTCCGCAGCTGGCGTTCGGATCTCGCGTCGACGCCCAATTCAGCGAGAGAGCGAACGGCCCTCGTCGAGCCCATCCATCCATCCATCCATGACGCGGGCGCACGCGGACGGGACCTCAGCCGAAGCCAAAACTGGCGTCGCGCCCTCCGTCCCTTCCCTATAAACCACCACCCTTCTCCACCCACAGCTCCCTCTTCCATTCCCTCCCCCGTCGTCTCGCCACTCGCTACACCCCAAAAACCTCACGCGCTCTCGACGCCTCGTCGCCACGCCGGCGAGAGGGGCGCGCCCACCCCCGTGCCTATATAACGACGCCGGCCGGAGCTGAGGTACCCTCTACCCGTCCCTTATCCGCTCGCCCAGATCTGCCTCTGTTCCACGCCTCCGTCGCCGCCGCATCGGGCGCGATCCCGCCGAGGCCCAGGTTAGCTCCTGCTCCTTGATCCGATGCGCACGTCTGGTCTCGTGGCGGCTTGGGCGCGTTAGCTCGCAGATCTGGCGTTTAGGACCGCTTCTCACCCCGATCTATGCGTTGTGGGCTGTGTCCCGCGGTTGATTCGACGCTGTGCAGCCCTGCTCTCATCGGGGTCCGCTCGCCGAGGTCGGAATTCTCCGAGATCGCGCGTGTTTATGTTGTGCCAGTGCCAGATCTGCGCGTGCGTGTACGGTCGCAGCTCTGCATGGCTGTTCCTGTTGCTCGGCGCAGAGGGGTGGACTTTGGATTAGATTTAGCACTTTTGGATTTGGATTTGGATTGCTGAGCTGCTCTGCCCGCGCTTTTGCGCTGTCGTAGAAAGGTGTCTGGGTTTGAGTGACGCCGTGACCCCTGGGGCGGGTCGTTGGACTCTTGCGCGTATTTGGGGCTAGTGTGGGCCAAATCTTTCGTGACCAATTTTTCCATGTTTCCCTTTAGAGAAACCTGCTCGTGCTGAATAATTCCTGTGTAGGATAAAAGCAAGATGTCATGGCCTGTCTACCTGTGTGCACTTTACACTGATGATATTTCAGTTTCCATTTCGATATGTGAAACACTCCTGCCGTGTTGGTTTTAATTGTTTGACAAGTGGAGTGACGGGTGTTGTCTGACCATAAATATAAATATGGTTAGCGGAAATTGTTTTTTGTTTGTATTCAAAGGGAAGCATTTCATGTGAAAACTGAGATTGTTCCACTTAGGTGTCTCATATATTTTCCATTTTCGTCATTTTAGCTACCTATGGAAGGTAAAAATGCAAATATTGGAAAAATGCGAGTTGCCGAATATGATAGGAAACAAGACTGAGGTAGGTTACATTATCTAATAATAAATGACCGTCTCTCCTTTTGATTGCAGGGTATAAGCTGGTATCATGGCGTCCAACACAGAAGCGTCAGGATGGTTCAGGGGTAAGGTGAAGGCTGTGACATCTGGGGATTGTCTACTGATCATGGGGAGCTCAAAGGCTGAGATCCCACCTGAGAAGTCCATCACCCTGTCCTACCTTATGGCCCCAAGGCTGGTAAGATCAACCTGCACTTGATGAATTTCCTTGTCGGTAATGCACAATATTCGTTGCCTTTTCACTTACTCTCAGTTTTCATTTGTTTCATGAATCTGGTGGAAGTCATTGGGTTGCTCTAGACAAACTAGATTACTAGGTTTTGAAGTTATGCTTGAGGACTAATGAATGTGGGCAATTCTCAAATTGTTTTTTGGTTGCATTTTGTTACGAAATTTTGCTCTTGGAACTATGTACTCAGTATCAATTGTAGCTTCTTGATATTCTACTCATTTCTCTAGTTTTCATTTTTCGCTTGTTTATTCATGGTGTTCTAGGCACGCCGTGGTGGAGTTGACGAGCCCTTTGCATGGGAAAGCAGAGAGTTTCTGAGAAAACTTTGTATAGGGAAGGTGCTACATTTGAAAACTCTCATATCATTCATTGTATTCTTCTTTTTTTTTGGACAATGCAAAATTATAATCTGCTGTTACAGGAGGTCACATTCAGAGTGGATTATACAGCCCCTAATATTGGACGAGAATTTGGAACTGTTTATCGAGGCGACAAGAATGTTGCATACTCAGTAGTTTCTGCTGGATGGGCAAGGGTAATAACCATTTTACTTTCATATTTGAGTATCTTTATCATATTTTACAGATGCATTACTGTATTGTAGTAAACTAGATGCGTTACTGATTTATTCTTCTATTTGCTTAATCAGGTAAAGGAGCAAGGTCCCAAGGGGGGCGAACAAAACCCTTACCTTGCTGAGCTGTTGAGGTTGGAGGAAGTTGCCAAGCAACAGGGTGTTGGTCGTTGGAGCAAGGTTAGCAATTTTTCATCTCTTGTGGTCAACTCATTTTGTATTGCATGAGATATGCTTTTCTTGATTTTGCTGTTGTATGCTTCTTATCTACATTCAGGATCCTGGTGCTGTTGAAGAGTCAATAAGGGATCTTCCACCATCTGCAATTGGTGAAGCAAGTGGTTTTGATGCAAAGGGTTTTATGTTGCAAATAAAGGCAAGAGTTTGGAGGCCATTGTTGAACAAGTTCGCGATGGCAGTACTGTTCGTGTGTATTTACTCCCTAGTTTCCAGTTTGTGCAGATATATGTTGCTGGAGTACAGGTACGCTACTCATAATTTGGTGTTGTTTTCTTTATGTTTATACGAAGTAAATATTAATTAAAAATAAATCTAGGCTCCATCAATGGGGAGACGCCCATCGGCACCTACTGTAATTGCTGAAACCGATGATACTGCTAATGGCGTGAACGGTGAAGATTCTGAGGGAACACCTGCGCAACTGACTACAGCACAAAGACTTGTTGCTTCTGCAGCTTCTGCTCAAATTCCACCAGATAGGTATGGAAGAGAAGCCAAGCACTTCACAGAGACTAGAGTTCTCAACAGAGATGTAAGCTATCTCTTATTCTGATCTTCCTCTATTCCCTTGGCATGAATAATTTGTTTTTGTTACTTGGCCTAACTTTCCCTTATAAAAAAAATCCTAGGTGCGTATTGTGGTGGAAGGCACAGACAGCTTTAGTAATATAATTGGTTCTGTGTATTACCCTGATGGAGAGACTGCAAAGGACTTGGCCCTTGAGCTTGTCGAAAATGTATGGCCAATATCTATCCATATAGTTTCTTTTGACTATGCATGCTATCAGGCATCATCAAGTAACTTAATTAAACTGTTAAATATGATTGCTTTCACATTATTAAATTGTTAAATCTTATTGCATTAAAAATTTACATGCCAACCTTTGTGTTACAGGGGCTTGCAAAGTATGTTGAGTGGAGTGCTAATATGCTTGATGTTGAAGTAAAAATAAAGCTCAAGAACGCAGAACTTCAGGCTAAAAAGGATCAATTGAGATTCTGGACAGGGTTTAAGCCACCGGTGACAAACTCGAAGCCCATTCATGACCAGAAATTTACTGGAAAAGTGTGTCTTCTGTTCTCAGATGATAGTGTGTATTCATCAATATTCACATAATTGTTTGATACTAACTATTTTTTTTCATGTTGATCTCTTCACAGGTGGTAGAGGTTGTAAGTGGGGATTGTATTATTGTGGCTGATGATGCTGCTCCATATGGCAGTCCTTCAGCTGAACGTCGGGTTAATCTGTCAAGCATTAGGGCTCCTAAGTTGGGCAATGCTCGTACAGATGTGAAGCCTGAACCTTTTGGCCGTGAATCTAAGGAGTTCTTAAGACGAGGTTGATTGGCAAGCAAGTATGTAGATGGGGGCTTGTGACAATCTGGCTGAAGTTTTAATTCATCATAAACAGTTATTCTTAGTAGAAAATAGATTGAGTTTCACCCCATTTTTTTCATTTTTAGGTGGCTGTTGAAATGGAATACTCTCGAAGGATCAGCACTGTGGATGGACAGAGTGCTGCTCCAACAGCAAACATGGCTGATCTGAGAGTTCTAGATTATGGTTCAGTTTTTCTGGGTTTCGCCATCACAGACTGATGGGGATGACATATCTTCTGCTCCGAGCTCTGCCAGCCAGCCTGGAGTTAATGTTGCTGAGCTTTTGCTCTCACGAGGTTTTGCTAAAACATCTAAACACAGGGATTATGAGGAAAGGTCGCACTATTATGATGCTTTGTTAGCAGCTGAATCACGGGCTGAGAAAGCAAAGAAAGGAGTGCATTCTCTAAAAGAATCTCCTGTGATGCATATAACAGATTTAACAACAGTAAGTGATGTTCTTTTATTCCATCAGTTCGATTTTGATATTTTCTGCATCATTCATTAACCTATTAGTGTGGTCCTTGTATGGATAGGTATCTGCAAAGAAGGCCAAAGATTTCCTTCCATTCTTGCAGCGGAACAGAAGGCATTCGGCCATCGTTGAATATGTTTTTAGTGGCCATCGATTCAAACTAACAATTCCTAAGGAGACTTGCAGTATTGCCTTCTCATTATCTGGTGTTCGTTGTCCTGGTAAAGGCGAGCCATACTCAGATGAAGCTATTGCTTTGATGAGGAGAAGGATACTACAACGTGATGTGGAGGTACAACTTTAGCTGTCTCTTTTGGTTCTTCCATTTCCCCATTTTCAGTTTCTGAAGGATGCAAGTGGCACGCAGATAGAGGTTGAAGCAGTTGATAGGACAGGAACATTCATAGGTTCGTTGTGGGAGTCCAAGACCAACATGGGCTCTGTACTTCTGGAAGCTGGGCTTGCCAAGCTGAGTTCATTTGGCTTGGATAGGATCACAGATGCTTATGTCCTAACAAGAGCTGAACAGTCTGCAAAGCAACAAAAGATTAAGGTAACCTTTCATTTTTCTCCCTGAGCTGTAAAAAAGGGAAAAACAATTACTGACACTTAACTTTTCAAGATATGGGAGAACTATGTCGAGGGTGAAAATGCTTCCAATCTAATCCACACCTGAATCTAAACAAAAGGAAATTCTCAAGGTTTGTTCACGAAGGATATTTTTGAAGCACACTCCATTTATTTGGGTGGAATTAACTTCTTGACTGACTCTATTTAGGTTGTAAATCACGGAAGTTCTTGGTGGTGGGAAGTTTTATGTTCAGACAGTGGGTGACCAGAGGGTGGCTTCAATTCAACAGCAGATTGCATCTTTGAAACTTAAAGATGCGCCAGTCATTGGTGCTTTTAATCCTGTGAAGGGAGAGATAGTCCTCGCACAATTTAGCCTTGACAACTCCTGGAACAGAGCTATGGTATGTGTGCAGTTACTAAATGTGTATGATGAAGTCAACTAATCTTTATGGGCCAAGTCAATAGTTGAATTCTGTCTTACTAGCTTATACCCTAGGGCTCTATACTGAAATTTCTTCTCCTATGGCCACTGTAAGTTTGATGATTCTAAAATAACCCATACCAGTTATTTTGGTTGTTAGCACGTTGATGAGTGCGTTCTGTCTCATCTTTTCAAGTTTTTATGGAAATTACATCAGAACTTTACACATTAGGACTAGGCAAGCCTTCTCATGGTATCTAATAAATATGGGACCAATAATAAACCCCTCTGTTGGTTCCCATAATTTCCTGTTTCATAAAGAACTCCCTTGTGGCACTGCACACCCAATTTGTCTAACAACAGGTGTTTGCCTATGTGGTTGTTGATGAATTACAACATTATTCGTTTTTATCAACAGAATGCAAGTGAACATGAGATGAATAGTATGGATAGAGAAAGCTAACTTTCAATATTTATTTGTTTCAGTGTGCCATGTAAATTAGTTAATATATTGTCACTGGTATTAGAAATCGATTACTCTTGCACATTTGCAGGATGTCCTGACCAAAGTCATGTTTATGTCTGAATTTTCTTATCACAACATAGCTTTATACTTTATGCTCGAATTGCCATTATTAGCTCCTGGTCATTCTAGAAATTTTATTATTAAGTCTTCATGTGGTTTGTGCAGATTGTTAATGGACCTCGTTCTGTAGAATCTCCGAACGACAAGTTTGAAGTATTCTATATTGACTATGGCAACCAAGAGGTGGTTCCCTACAGTCGTCTACGGCCTGTGGACCCATCTGTTTCCTCGTCTCCTGCTCTTGCTCAGCTATGCAGCCTTGCTTTCATAAAAGTGCCCAGTGTTGAGGATGACTTTGGTCAGGAAGCAGCAGAGTATCTAAGCGAATGTTTGCTGAGTAGCTCAAAGCAATTTCGGGCAATGATCGAAGAACGTGATGCTTCTGGGGGAAAATCAAAAGGACAAGGAACCGGAAATGTTCTCATTGTTACTCTTGTTGATGCGGAGACAGAAAGTAGCATAAATGCTACCATGCTTGAGGTTTGTGCTACTGACTGCTTTGATGCTGACGACTGCTTGCTAGTACATAACTTTTGCTCATGTTTGTATTCGAATTCAACTGCTTGCTAGTACATAACCTTCTCTCATGTTTGGTAGAACATCCCTACTGCTCCTGTTTGAACACAAATAGCTGCTTACTAACTAGTCAGCAAAGATATAAATGCCTCATAAAATGCCTATAAACATATAACACACATTACTTACTACTACAGTACTAAGTAAAGAAATATATGTTCATTTGTCGACAGACGATGTGATCAATTTCTTCGAAAACTTATGTGAAAAGCTGTATTATGGCTATTTGGCCAGGAACATATGTTATTTCTAACATCACCTACTCCCTGCATTTACAGGAAGGGCTTGCCCGGCTTGAAAGAAGCAAGAGATGGGACACTAGGGAGAGGAAGACAGCTCTCCAGAACCTGGAACAGTTCCAGGAGAAGGCAAAGAAGGAAAGGCTGCGGATCTGGCAGTACGGGGATGTTGAATCGGACGATGACGAGCAGGCCCCAGCTGCAAGGAAGCCTGGAGGTCGTCGGTAGACTGGGCATGCTATGAAAGTTTTGGACAACCCCAAATGTGGGGACTCTGCCGTGAGTTATAGATGAAAACTTAGACTGAGGGGGTACCTTATTTATTCGGTTAGAAAAGAGAACTTAGCGAGGCGAAACTTTCTCGGTTTGAGCACTTTTGATATTACGTTTTTACACCGTAAGCTTATAAGGTTAAAGATACATTGTTTTTTTTCTCTGAACTCAATAAGGTCGTGTCTATGCGCTGCGGTTCTTTGTAGTCAGAATATAATATTGAGAAGTGCAGTGAATTAAAGTTAAGGATTGCATTTAATGATTCCAGTGCCCGTGCGGTGAGGATTTCTCTCATACGCATTTACTGATTGCACTGTTGATTGATACTCCCAGGAGAACGTAACTACGGGGTGCGTGCCATCAAAAGTGGCTCTAGCAAATTTTTAGTAAGGCCCCGTTTAGTTCAAAGCCAAAAACTAAAAATTTTCAAGATTCTTTGTCACATTAAATCTTACGGCACATGCATGGAGTATTAAATGTAGATGAAAAAAAAACTAATTACACGGTTAGCCGAGAAATCGTGAGACGAATCTTTTAAGTCTAAATAGTCCATAATTGGATAATTTTTGCCAAATAAAAACGAAAGTGCTACAGTAGCCAAAAGCCAAAAATTTTCAGAACTAAACAGGACCTAAATACTTACGGCTTCAAAATAATTTATTATAAAAATATATTTCGTAATTAATTTAATAATATTTATTTGATATTATAAAATATTTATCTATAATTGATTGAATTTAAGATTTGCATGACATTGTGCTATAATTGCATGCTTTTCTCGACGGCATTCTTCTCCGGCGAAATGGCCAGTATTTGCAGTACATACTTCGCCTGTGCTGGCGCTGTTGCTTGCGGCTACTCCCTCTGTTCGAGGTTAGGTTCGGATGATTCTACATTGATCCGTCAATCGAAACACATCCTTATTCAAACTTTAGATTCTTTGATTAATGAAACCGTATCATTCTCATATTTTCATGACGGAGGTAGTACGTATTATAAAATGGATGGAGTAGTACGGTATATGTTGCACGAGACTGAGTTTAGAATTCGTAGTTCTAGCTTACATCGTTGATACAGAGCGCGCCAAGCGAGACTTGGGCCATGCCTCCTGCTCAACCTCTACTTGCATCCTCAGCTGCTCGCGAAACCTCTGGATGAACTCCTCGGCCAGACCGTCAACGTCTAGCGCCGCCATGGCCTGAGGTGAGCGCTCCGGCTCCGGAGACCACCCTCCGTCCCTCCGTGTGACAATGGTCCCCGCCAGCATCTCCGTTGCTTGCTTGGCGCCGATGCACGGCGGCAGGCGCCGTTGGCGACGTGGACGTCGTCCTTTCACGGTCAGAACATTGACAGGTGTGGTCGTGCACGAGAACTCGTAGCTGCCCCTGAAGTAGTCGTCGTCGTCCGCGGGTCGATGCGCGCCGACGGTAAGACCTTCCCAGAGCTCCCTGCACTTTGCCATGGATAGTGGTCGTAGGAGGTCCCTCACGGCGCTCGACAGCTTCCCCATGGATAGTTGTCGCTGCAGCTTCATTGTCTGAAGAACAGATGAAAAGATGCAGTGGCAAATGAAGCAAGAAGAACAAAGACACTACTAGCTAGAGCATGCAATGGCTTGCGAACAGCAGGGGAGTGTAGTATTTGTAGGGTTTACGAGTCAAAAGCTTCGAGTGGAAGGCGGCGGAGCAGGAAAGTGTTGGAACATTAACGTGACAGGAACATTGCTTGCAGTTGCAGATTATGTTCACCGTTCCATTTCATTGTTAATTTCGTGGAAGCAGAGGAAGTTCCTTGGAGAAGGCTAACGTAACGAACATTATATTAAACGAGATCTTGTGTGTGTTATTCTAAATTATAAGATGTTTTAACTTTTCTAAATACATATTTTTTTGTTAGCACTAAGAGATATATATTATATCTAGATACATAATAAAAACATGTAACTAGAAATATAAAATGTCTTATAATTTGGAAACGGAGGAAGTTTTACTCAAATTACAACTATTTTTTTTTTGTGTCCTGAGCTCCATATGTGCCTCGATCAAATTGGCACAGTACAAAATTGGTACATAAAAGCAAGTGCTATAGAAGTATAATTTGAGATGCAAATAAATACCAAAACTGTATGAATCACAATGTATTTATGACGTTTAAGAAAATTGGCTGAAGCCTTTTAACAGTTTTCTCTTTTTTAGATAATAGATCAAAGTTCCAGCCTATACCATCTGGAGATGGTATACAGCTGGTAGTCATAATATAAACCAAAGCCATAAGTCCCACACTCTCACGTCTAAGTGAGATAAGAAGCAACAAGATTTAGGCCATCGGCTAACAAGGCAAAAAAACTAAACTCCAATTCAATTCCTAAAGTTCCAACCAAACTTCGCAAAGACTGCGATGTTAGCAACCCAGGGGAAGGAAATTGAAAGGGAAGAGAAGAATCGGAAGAACAACAGATGACGGAAGAGTAGCTTAGTATTCAGTTCATGTCATATGTTTTTTCCATCCCCTCGGTCTCTCTCTCTCTGCTCCTATCTATACTGGCCTTTGGCCATCCGCGTGAGTCGCACAGACGCAGCTGTGCGTGTCCTATGACTCACGCCCACTCTGCTCCACCAAGCCGCACGTTGGTGCGTCGGACGCGACTTCCCTTCCTTGGTTCCGGTTCAGCTGGTTCACCGAGCCCGTGACGCGTTCAGTCTTTGGGTCGCCCCCTGGTTGGCTTTCTTGGTGACGCCGACATCCCTCCTCGATGAAGACCTGCTTGTCCCCAAGCGGGGAGCTATGAAACCTTTGCTTGGGAGAGCTTCCGGTGTCTTCCTGTAGCAAGAGATGCCGGCAGATTGGACCATTGCACTAGCACCTGGGGAACGACGTTGTGGTTGGTTGTGTGGATGCGCCTCTGGAGAATCTTGAGTGGTATCTGCAACCCGTCTAGATTGTGGGGAAGATCAGCCACTGAATGAGATGTGGGGATCGCCGTCTTGAGCTGGGACACATGGAAGACGGGATGAATGGCTGAATTCTCCGGAAGCTGGAGCTTGTAGGCGACTGCTCCCACTCGACCGATGACCTAAAAGGGGCCAAAGAATTTGAAAGCGAGCTTTTGGTTAGCGCGCGCAGCCAAAGATGTTTGCACATAAGGCTGCAACTTGAGGTACACCCAGTCGCCCACTGCAAATTGGCGCTCGGAACGAGATTTGTCAGCTTGTGTCTTCATCTTGACTCTGCTGAGCTCGAGCTAAGTGCTGCTGGATGAGAGTGGTCATCATTGATTTTTCCTTCATCCAATCAGTTAGGGAAATTGAGGAAACAGAACAATCTTCAGAGAGTCCAAAGTGGTGGGGGTGATGACCATAGAGGACAAAGAATGGTGAATAGTTCAATGTAGAATGCCATGTAGTGTTGTACCAATACTCAGCCAAGAAGATCCAATCAAGCCACTTAGCGGGACAGAGGCCCGACAAAAGCAAATAAAAAAGTTTCCATGCACTGGTTCACACGCTCTGTTTGGCCGTCGGTTTGAGGATGGTAAGCTGAAGACATCCGAAGAGTGACGCCGGCCAAACGGAAAAGCTCTTGTCACAGCTGACTGGTGAAAACCTTGTCACGGTCCGAGATGATTGACAGTGGCAGACCATGGAGACGATATACATTTGTGATGAAGGTTTTGGCCACTGTCAAAGCAATGAATGGATGAGCCATGGGGATGAAGTGTGCATACTTGGAAAAGAGATCGACAATCATCAGGATACAATTCTTGCCCCCAGACGGTGGAAGACCCTCCACAAAGTCCATCGAGATGCTCTGCCATGCCATGCTGGGAACCGGTAAAGGTTGGAGTAGACCGGGGTATTTGGCGCGATCGGGTTTGGCTTGCTGACAGATAGGACATGTAGCCACAAACTGTTGAACGGATGATTTTAGACCGGTCCAGGCAAAAAGAAGCTTGATACGCCGGTAGGTGGTAGGACAACCAGAATGACCGCCCACTGGAGAAGAATGAAAGGCTGCGATAATCTTGTGGTGTAGAGGCACATTAGGTCCCACCCAAATACGGCCCTTGTACCGAAGCAGTCCTTGGTGCATGGAGAAATTAGGCTCAGAGTCAGCAGAGATAGCTAGCTTGGCCATGAGTTCCTGAGCTCGAGCATCCGATGCATAGCTGTGGATGATGGCATCGAGCCAGGAAGGCACTGTGGCTGAAATGGCAGACAGTTCCTCTGGATGGCCCATCCGAGACAAAGCATCCGCAACCCGATTGTCAGTACCTGGCTTATACAATATATTGTATTGCAAACCCAACAATTTGGTGAATACCTTTTGCTGCCATGCAGTGTGAAGTCGTTGATCAGTCAAATGTATGAGGCTCTTGTGATCAGTGAAAATGACAAACTCACCGAGCTGCAAATAGGAACGCCACTGATCAACAGCAATAATGATAGCCATGTATTCTTTCTCGTATGCTGACAACCCCTGATTCTTGGGCCCGAGAGCGCGACTCAGGAAGGCAAGTGGATGACCCTCCTGAAGGAGCACGGCACCAACTCCATAGTGAGAAGCATCAGTTTCAATACAGAATTGTTTTTCGAAATCAGGAAGGGCAAGCACTGGAGCAGAACTCAAGCATTTCTTCAGAGTCTGGAATGCTGATTTATGTTCAGTAGACCACACGAACAGTGAGTGCTTCTTCAACAATGCTGTCAGCGGCTTTGAGATGACTGCATAATGGCGAACGAAGCGGCAGTAGAAGCCGGCAAACCCAAGGAAACTCCGAAGTTCCTTGACTGTAGTCGGTGTTGGCCAGGAAACTACTGCCTCAATCTTAGATGGGTCTGTCGCCACACCTTGAGCACTGATGACATGGCCCAAATAAGAAATCTCAGTTTGCGCGAACTTGCACTTGGAGAGCTTGATGTGCCACTGATCTTGGGCTAGCAAGGACGAAACCTGACGGAGATGATCAAGATGCTCTTCAAACGACTTGCTGTAAATAAGGATGTCATCAAAGAAAACAATAGCACACCGGTGGAGGCAAGGCTTGAGAGTGCTGTTCATGGCTCCTTGGAAAGTACCAGGTGAACCAGAAAGTCCAAAGGCGACGACCTTGAATTCATAGTGGCCCACATGGGTTGAGAACGCCGTTTTATGCTCTTCACCTTCCTTTAATCGGATCTGGTGATAGCCTGACATTAGGTCCAGGGTTGAAAAATACCGAGCACCAGCTAGCTCATCCATGAGTTGGTCAAAGACTGGAATAGGAAAGGCGGTCTTGACAGTAAGGGCATTGAGGTAGCGATAGTCGACACAAAATCTCCAGGAACCATCCTTTTTACGGACCAGCAAGACAGGCGAGTTGAATGGCGAAGTACTCGGTTGGATTATACCCTGTTGCAGCATAGAATCAACCTGAGATTCAATTTCATCCTTGAGAGCTGGTGGATAACGGTATGGTCGTACTGTGACCGGCCGAGCCCCTTCAATCAATGGTATCTCATGATCACAGTCCCTCTTAGGTGGTAGTTGGTCAGGTGGACAAATGACAGAAGGAAACTCAGTCAGTAAAGCACCGATGGCTGGAGGTAACTGACTCTCGGTGGCAGGAGGTTGGGAAGTGATACTGCATATGTGCACCAACAACTCATCATTCCCAAAATCCTCTAATAATGGAGTGCCTTGTAACCGGACTGTAGTACCTTTATAAGGAATAACCAACCAGCGATGCACCCAATCCACCTTCATTGGACTGAAGCGTTGAAGCCAATCCATGCCAAGGATCATGTCATAGTGTGGGATGGGCAAGACCTTGAGATCATGGGTAAACTGATGGTGTTGAATAGTCCATACTGCTGCTGGCAATTGTGCAGAACACTGCAGGCACTGACCATTGGCTACCTTGACAGTGAATGAAGGACACTGAATCGGGATAACGGATGATTGAAATAGTAGGTCTTTGGTGATAAATGAGGTGGAGCTACCGAATCCGGGAGAATCAAGGCGGCGGCATTCTTTGAAACATGCCTTGGAATTGTAAGGTTTTAACCCCCGGTTGCGCTGTAGCATTAGACGATAAGCAGTAACAGTTTGTTCGGGCTCTGGATCTTCAGTGCTATCTTGTGAGTGAGCTTCAACTGAGTCTTCAGAGAAAAGAGCATAGAGCTCGTCCAAAACATGGAGTCCAACTTGTTGCGCACACTTGTGGTCACGATTCCTTTTCTCTCCGTAGTGATCACACAAACCACGACGCACGCCCGGTAAGCCTTGAGATCGGCGAGCTTCTTGTCCGATGGTTTGTGATTCAGCAAGGGTTTGTCCACCGGGTGACTTGCAAACTGTCTTGGCGTGAAGGAGGGGAATAGCCGGCCTTCTGGTGCCATGGCTTGAACTCACGTCGCCGTGATGACTCCATGACCTCTTCCGCAATGATTGCCAAAGTATACGCAGATATCCGAGGAATCGGTATTTGAACAAGAATGATGATGATGAATGTATCGAATGTAAGCCATCTAGAAAAGAGTGATGTAATGTAGAACA